GTACGACATATATATATATATATATATATATATATATATATATATATATATATATATATATATATATATATATATATATATATATATATAAAATATATATACCCAATGCAGCCCTGGGAACTCGCCTCAGCCATGACGCTCTCCGCATTGGAGTTGCTCTTCGCCTTGCCGCCCCCATCCTCACCGAACATAGGTGCATCTGCGGAACTGCGATGGCAGACCAATATGGTCGTCATGGTCTGGTATGTCGTAAATCACAGGGTAAAATTGCAAGACATGAAGAAGTCAACGACATCATCAAGAGGAGCCTCGCCACAGCCCGCTGCCCGGCACAAAGAGAACCACACTTATCCAGACCTAACGACCCTCAGAAGCGCCCTGATGGGGTCACCTTGCTACCTTGGAAGGATGGTAAGCAAGTGGTATGGGACTACACGTGCGCTGCCACACTGGCCAGTACCTACCTCCACTACAGCACACGTGAAAGCGGTGGTGCTGCTTCTTTCAGGGAATCGCAGAAAATTATTAAATACAGAGGTCTAGCACACTGCTACAGCTTTGTTCCGATCGGCTCGGAGACCCTCGGTTCGTGGGGAAAATGTGCATTGAAGTTCCTGAAGGAATTGGGGGACAAATTGATCAGCGCTACAAAAGACCAGAGAGCAAAAAGTTTCTTGTTCCAGCACCTCAGTGTTGCGATTCAGAGGGGAAATGCCTGTTGCGTCTTGGGCACTAGTCCAACTTCAGAGGAATTCGAAGAAGTGTTTGACTTGCAACAATGATCGAACCCGTCTGTGACATTCATCAATGTTTCCCATTGTTGTGTTTTTCAAGAGATCCATAACCTTTAATCACCTTTTTGCATTATTATTTTTGTATCAACCCATGTATATCTTGTAACCATATATATATATATATATATATGTCGTACCTAGTAGCCAGAACTCACTTTTTGGCCTACTATTCAAGGCCCGATTTGCCTAATAAGCCAAGTTTTCTTGAATCAATATATTTTTTCTAATTTTTTTCATATGAAATGATAAAGCTACCCATTTCATTATGTATGAGGTCAATTTTTTTTTATTGGAGTTAAAATTAACGTAGATATATGACCGAACCTAACCAACCCTACCTAACCTAACCTAACCTATCTTTATAGGTTAGGTTAGGTTAGGTAGCCGAAAACGTTAGGTTAGGTTAGGTTAGGTAGGTTAGGTTGTCAAAAAAACATTAATTCATGAAAACTAGGCTTATTAGGCAAATCGGGCCATGCATAGTAGGCTGAGAAGTGAGTTCTGGCTACTAGGTACGACATATATATATGTATATGTATATATATATATATATATATATATATATATATATATATATATATATATATATATATATATATATATATATATATATATATATATATATATATATATATATATATATATATATATATATATATATATATATATATATATATATATATATATATATATATATATATATATATATATATTAGTATATTTTGGTAGCAGTCTTTCCTGTAGACATATATTATTAAATATGACCGAAAAAGTAAGATTAATAATTCTAACACGAATTTTCTCAATCTTTCGTACATTACGCTTCACTGTTGGAGGTAAATCAAAAATCACTTCTCCAAAATTCATTTTTATTTCTAGTCTGACGCGACACGGGCGCGTTTCGTAAAACTTATTACATTTTCAAAGACTTCACAAATACACAACTGATTAGAACTTACGTCTCTCTGATATTATATCTACATTTGAGTGAGGTGGGAAGGATGATGTGGCATTAACACAAGACTGAACAGGGGATATTAATAGGGTATTAAAAGTATCAACACAAGACAGAACAGAAAACAATGGGTATTGAATAGAAGTGTTTGTAGAAAGCCTATTGGTCCATATTTCTTGATGCTTCTATATTGGAGCGGAGTCTTGAGGTGGGTAGAATATAGTTGTGCAATAATTGGCTGTTGATTGCTGGTGTTGACTTCTTGATGTGTAGTGCCTCGCAAACGTCAAGCCGCCTGCTATCGCTGTATCTATCGATGATTTCTGTGTTGTTTACTAGGATTTCTCTGGCGATGGTTTGGTTATGGGAAGAGATTATATGTTCCTTAATGGAGCCCTGTTGCTTATGCATCGTTAAACGCCTTGAAAGAGATGTTGTTGTCTTGCCTATATACTGGTTTTTTTGGAGCTTACAGTCCCCAAGTGGGCATTTGAAGGCATAGACGACGTTAGTCTCTTTTAAAGCGTTCTGTTTTGTGTCTGGAGAGTTTCTCATGAGTAGGCTGGCCGTTTTTCTGGTTTTATAGTAAATCGTCAGTTGTATCCTCTGATTTTTGTCTGTAGGGATAACGTTTCTATTAACAATATCTTTCAGGACCCTTTCCTCCGTTTTATGAGCTGTGGAAAAGAAGTTCCTGTAAAATAGTCTAATAGGGGGTATAGGTGTTGTGTTAGTTGTCTCTTCAGAGGTTGCATGGCTTTTCACTTCCTTCTTATGATGTCTTCGATGAAACCATTGGAGAAGCCAATGGTATATATATATATATATATATACCATATATATATATATATATATATATATATATATATATATATATATATATATATATATATGTATGTATGTATGTATGTATGTATGTATGTATGCTGTGCTGTGGCTCTGCATATATATATGAGCCACAGCAATGCATGGCAGGGTACAGCTAGTATGTATATATATATTTTTGTGTGCAAAGAGACTGTGCTTGTAAGCTGGATTTAGGACACTGTTGCAGCATTATGTAGAACATATATTAGTCGATTTAATGAGGTTTTAATGTTTAGTATTGACAAAATGCAGGAAAATAAAAAAATACAATAATTATGCTACTTGCTGATTACTTTTGTGTGTGGATAGGCAGGCAGGAGGAATAATGGGTAGACAATCTTTGAAGTTTTTGAAAGGTAAGGTAAAGTATAACTTTGGGGAGTATGGTTTAAAATTACTGTATATATTTGATATATACTATAATCTATATTATAACCATACTCCCATATATAGTATAACATATATGGGTGTATGGATGAAAATTATATAAACTATATACAATTTAGTGTTTCCTTTATAAAACATTACAAAAAAACAGTTTAGTGTTTCCTTTTTAAAATATTACAAAGAAAACAATGTAGTGTTTCCTTTGTCAGAGTAGATGTTAATGGGACTATCATAGCTCCCATTGTTTAGTTTCTATGGTCTTGAAACTTGAGTCTAATTGTTTAGTCTCGCGTTGTTTAGTTTCTTCATTGTATAAATTCTTTACAACTGTCTCAATATTACAAGTGTTGGTTGAGGGGTTTAACATTATGATGAAGATATGGTCATTTCTCACAAAAAGCTGTAACAAAATCATATTTAATCTGCTCTATGTATGGACATTCTGGCTTAGTATTTTCTATTAATATTTTCTTACTAGCTGTACCAGGTCACGCGTTGCTGTGGCTCAGCAAAGCATGTGCGTTGCTGAGCCACAGCAATCTTCCCTTGTCTCCCAGTCCTCCCCACCATTCCCCCTCCCCCCCATCCCCTCGTCCTCCCAACCATTCCCCACTCCCTCGTCCCCTCGTCCTCTTAACCATTCCCCACTCCCCTGTCCCCTCGTCCTCCCCACCATCTCCCACTCCCCCGTCCCTTGTCCTCCCGACTATTCCCCTCTTCCCAGTCCCCTCGTCCTCCCCATAATCCCCCACTCCTTTGATCCCCCTTGTCCTCCCCACCATTCTCCATTCCCCTTTCCCCTTGTCTCCGCCATCCCCAACTCCCCCGTTCCCTCGTCCTCCCCACCGTTTTCCACTCCCTCGTCTGATGCATTCTCAAATGATCTGATTACTTTGCGTAATCAAATTATCTGATGTTCCAATCACTGAAACATAAGAAAAACAGTTAAAGAAAGAAATGAAAAAAATGAAAAAATAAAAAAATAAACTGTACTCACGAAATGAACGGTTTGATAAATAACACAGCTCAAATCCAATGCAATGTCACAAAATAATTAAATCAAAATTAAAATAAATGGTAATCTATGAAAATTCAATTTGTCAATGCAATCGGAAACATTGAAATGGAATCGTAACATATTTAGTATAGTATGTGATGCTCTTACATGCAACAGATGGCGCTGAATCTTAAAAAAAAACGTTATTCCCTGTCACAGGTGTGGCATCTATACTTATACTCACGAAATGATTGGTATGGTAACTAACACAGCTCAATTCCAACGCACTTTCACACAAAATAATGAACTCAAAATGTATGAAAATTCAATTTATCAATGAAATTGGAAACATTGAAATGGAATCGTAACATATTTAGTATAGTGTGTATTGCTATTACGTGCAACAGATGGTACTGTTTTTTAAAAAAAGTATGTTTTTACCGGTCACAGGTGTGTCATCTATATAGCAGGTATATAAAAACACGCGTGTATCCGAATGAAACGTCAAAATTTCAAAGAATTCGGTGAAGAACTTACGTCCAACAGATGGCGCTGTTTTTCAAAATGCAGGTTTTTTCCTGTCACAGGTGAGGCATGTATATAGTAGGTATATAAAAACTTGTGCCTATTCGAATGAAACGTTGTGTCAAAATTTTAAAGCAATCGGTAAAGAGGTTTCAAAGATTTCCCTCACATGAAAACCCATGTAAAACAGTTTTTCAAAAAAGCATGTTTTTCCCGTCACAGACGTAACATCAATATAGTATGTATATAAAACCCTGCTCGGATGCGAATGGAATGGCGTGTGAAAATTTCAAAGCAATCGGTGAAGAACTTTCGGAGATTAGCGATTTTGAACAAACGAACATTTATATTTTTATTTATATAAATATAAGGGGTGGGACTTCTTTATTGATAAGGACAAAATAATTGCCAATCTCCACAAAGTAAGTAGGCATTTTTCCTATTCAGAATTTGACTTTCGATTTAAATTTACCAGGAAACGGGGTTCACCTGCAACGATATAGAGATAAAAATATCCGAATTATAAGATGTCTGGGAAGGACTTCTGCTACAGATGTTTTGGCCGTGATACAAACTCCTCTCCGTAAGTTTTTACATTATGTTTATGAAGTTTCTTTTATTTGTTATTTAGGATATAATAATTTCCCATTCATTTCGCCTAGTTAATTTTAAGGAAAGTTCGATGAGAGAAATGACATAAATTACAATTTGTGTTCTGTTCGGGGCGTTGTATAATAGTTAATGTGCGGAGGTGTCACGTGGTACAGCCTCACCCTTGGCTAGGGAGACCTTATTCAGCGTTGAAAGGCATCCTCATCCCGTCAGTGGTATACCAGTATATTGGTATATTTCTAGTTTGGTGTCTTCATCTAAATCATTTGATATCATATCTAATATCTTCTCATTTTATCAAAAACTTTTTACATGGTAATAGGGTCCACATATAATATACAAAAATAAATTAAAGCATATTATCAGGCAGCTGTTGTAGTGAAAGTCCCGTTGAGGAATATGACTCGTCTTTATTGGTGTAATGAATGTGGTGGTGAGGAAGATTTCTGGTTGTTATGAGGTAACAGTCCCCTCATAATATCCACCTCACACAGTATGAGAGTTATTCCTCACAGTTTGAACTGGTTTATAACCATTTAGTATGTTGTAGAGTATATGTAGCCAGGTTAATCCAGGAGTATTGATCTGTTTTGGATTATTATTATTATTATTATTATTATTATTATTATTATTATTATTATTATTATTATTATTGTTTCACATTTAACATTATATTTGAGTTATGAACAACTGACGTATGCATGACGCAGTGAAAGTAAGCCATTTGCTTTTGATTCATCATTAATGCTATGGTCTTATTTGTTCATCTTCACTGATATTGATCCATGTGTTCAGGGCGGTTGTCTGGTGTATGATGGTCATGATTATTACCATTTTTTATTGTGCTTTATTCTATACACTTCAAATAGACGGTAGAGCGACACTCACGCTTCTTGCAGGTCGACGTTCAATCCCCGACCGTTCAAGTAGTTGGGCACCATTCCTTTCCTCATCCTATCCTAAATCCTTATACTCATATCCATTCAAAGTGCTATATAGTCGTAATGGCTTAGTACGTTCTCCTAATAATTACCTTACCTTATTATATGCTAATGTGAGCATTCATGCATAAATGTATCTTAAGCTGAAGCTGAGACTATAAACACAAAGAGGACTCTAATTTAGCTTATTGTAATGATTGATTCGTAAGAAGAAATTCAAATATTTGGTGAGATATTTTTGTATACTATAAATTTGATGGTAGTGGAAGCAGGTGCAGCAGTCCAAGAGCTCAAGAGTTGCCATAGGCTACAGCATTGATTGTGCAAAAGTTTTAGTTTATTGCTTATTAATTGTCCACGGATTGTTTGACAAAGTTTTTCATTTATTGTCTCTGCGTGTCTGGTAGGTGCAGGATGATGGTATAGGGAATCATGGCTCTTAATAAAATTACGTTGGCATAAGTGAGGCGAATCTGAATAAGGATTCATTGAGAGTAAGCCTGAGGAACTATAATAGGAGAAAGTGTCCAAGACTTCACGTCCATTCGGGCGTGATGTTATGAAGGCAGGTGAGCTTGAGTTGGTCTACCCAAGATTAGGCAAGTCAGTTCCCACGGCCTGGTACACTTTCTATGAATAATGTTGTGAGACCATCCCGGTAACTCCCGAGAGCAGGAGCTGACACTTGAGAAGTGTCACAGTTGTTATTATATTTGCTGTTGTGGGACAGGTAGAGACGGGTACTAACACCCTCATATTACCCAGTACAACATAAGATGAAAAGACTCGATGCCTCCTGGATAAATGTAAAGTTGAACCCCTAATCTTTAAAGTGGCAAACTTGGTGTAATGAAAATCCTGGTGATAAAGATTACTCGGTGAAAGGTGTAGTGAAAGTCTTGGTGAGAAGTATGAGTGGTGCAGAGAAAGTTCTGGTGAGGAAGATTACTGGTGCAGAGAAAGTTCTGGTGAGGAAGATTACTGGTGCAGAGAAAGTTCTGGTGAGGAAGATTACTGGTTCAGAGAAAGTTCTGGTGAGGAAGATTACTGGTGCAGAGAAAGTTCTGGTGAGGAAGATTACTGGTGCAGAGAAAGTTCTTTAGTTGCTTTGTTCACATTGACTCCGAGTCAGGCCCTCAACACCTTAGTTTACTGTACACCACCCCAAGCCCTCCCCTCAGTCTTCTTAGTTTACACCAGTTCTATTGCTCCTCTCAACCTTCTTAGTGTACCCAAATCCTCTCTTCACCCTGGTCAGTTTACACCAACCTTCACAAGCTCTATCAGTATCTGAAGTGTATAATGTACCTTGATCAGTTTTCTTATACATGGAATATAAGAAGTACATTTGGCTTCCAGAAATATCCGAAAAATCTTTTAAGGAAAAATAGAAGTTCATATGAATGGGATATATTTTGTTTAACAATTTATATATTTATTCAGAGAACTTACGCTATTTTACCTTCCAGAGTTTTACGTGTCAAACACAAGCACCATTCGCGCCAGTCTTGGAGACCACTTGAGGGTTCCCATCACCAAGACTAAGGATCTGCCCGATGAAGTGTTCATCCGCAGACTTCCAGATGGATGGGTGTACAAGGCTGGGACCACTGCTGATGTTTCCCTTCCTTTGACCTTTGACCCGGTCACACTCGGAGACGCGGGAATATACATCCTTGGTAATGATGGCACATCTCAGGAATCGAAAACCTTTTCTGCAGCCAAGGTCGAAATTGAATACAATGGAGCATATTTTCATCTAATTGTACGAGGTAGAGTTGTACTCCTTGTAAATATTATCTGAAGTGATGTACTAAATTTTTCAATGGCTGTTGTCTTCACTGCACTGCACTATGTTGTGAAGATGGTTGCCTGCAGTTTAATGCATTTTGCAATGATCATTGTGTACAGTGTTGTGAATGTTGCACGTGTGATGTAGTGTGCATGTTACAAATAGTGATGATTCATGATCTATATTGTGAAGATGGATGTCTATAGTGTGATAAATAGACAACCCACAATGCATGGTGCATTGGGGGTTGTCTGTAGTATGGTGTATGAGGCAGTGATGGTTGTCTGTAGTATGGTGTATGAGGCAGTGATGGTTGTCTAGTGTGGTGCATGGTACAGTGATGGTCGTCTGTAGTGTGGTGCATGCTACAGTGATGGTCGTCTGTAGTGTGGTGCATGCTACAGTGATGGTCGTCTGTAGTGTGGTGCATGGTACAGTGAATGTTGTCTGTAGTGTGGTGCATGGTGCAGTGATGGTTGTCTAGTGTGGTGCATGGTACAGTGATGGTTGTAGTGTGATGCATGGTACAATGATGGTCGTCTGTAGTGTGGTGCATGGTGCAGTGATGGTTGTCTAGTGTGGTGCATGGTACAGTGATTGTTGTCTGTAGTGTGGTGCATGGTACAGTGATGGTTGTCTGTAGTGTGGTGCATGGTACAGTGATGGTTGTCTGTAGTGTGATGTATGGTACAGTGATGGTTGTCTGTAGTGTGATGTATGGTGCAGTGATGGTTGTCTGTAGTGTGGTGCATGGTGCAGTGATGGTTGTCTAGTGTGGTGCATGGTACAGTGATGGTTGTCTGTAGTGTGGTGCATGGTACAGTGATGGTCGTCTGTAGTGTGGTGCATGGTACAGTGATGGTTGTCTGTAGTGTGGTGCATGGTACAGTGATGGTTGTCTGTAGTGTGATGTATGGTGCAGTGATGGTTGTCTGTAGTTTGGTGCATGGTACAGTGATGGTTGTCTGTAGTGTGGTGCATGGTACAGTGATGGTTGTCTGTAGTGTGGTGCAGTGATGGTTGTCTGTAGTGTGGTGCATGGTGCAGTGATGGTTGTCTGTAGTGTGGTGTATGGTGCAGTGATGGTTGTCTGTAGTGTGATGCATGGTACAGTAATGGTTGTCTGTAGTGTGGTGCATGGTACAGTGATGGTTGTCTGTAGTGTGGTGCATGGTACAGTGATGGTTGTCTGTAGTGTGGTGCATGGTACAGTGATGGTTGTCTGTAGTGTGATGCATGGTACAGTGATGGTTGTCTGTAGTGTGATGTATGGTGCAGTGATGGTTGTCTGTAGTGTGATGCATGGTACAGTGATGGTTGTCTGTAGTGTGGTGCATGATACAGTGATGGTTGTCTGTAGTGTGGTGCATGGTACAGTGATGGTTGTCTGTAGTGTGATGTATGGTGCAGTGATGGTTGTCTGTAGTGTGATGTATGGTGCAGTGATGGTTGTCTGTAGTGTGGTGCATGGTACAGTGATGGTTGTCTGTAGTGTGGTGTATGGTACAGTGATGGTTGTCTGTAGTGTGGTGCATGGTGCAGTGATGGTTGTCTGTAGTGTGGTGCATGGTACAGTGATGGTTGTCTGTAGTGTGATGTATGGTGCAGTGATGGTTGTCTGTAGTGTGATGTATGGTGCAGTGATGGTTGTCTAGTGTGGTGCATGGTACAGTGATGGTTGTCTGTAGTGTGGTGTATGGTACAGTGATGGTTGTCTGTAGTGTGGTGCATGGTACAGTGATGGTTGTCTGTAGTGTGATGTATGGTGCAGTGATGGTTGTCTGTAGTGTGGTGCATGGTACAGTGATGGTTGTCTGTAGTGTGGTGTATGGTACAGTGATGGTTGTCTGTAGTGTGGTGCATGGTACAGTGATGGTTGTCTGTAGTGAGGTGCATGGTACAGTGATGGTTGTCTAGTGTGGTGCATGGTACAGTGATGGTTGTCTGTAGTGTGGTGCATGGTACAGTGATGGTTGTCTGTAGTGTGGTGCATGGTACAGTGATGGTTGTGTACCTTAAGGTCTATGGTGTGTTGTTACAGTGAGTGAGAGTGACTGTTATGGACCACAGTGTGGTGACTGTACCTTAAGGTCAATGTTGTGTTGTTACAGAGTGTGAGAGTGACCGTTATGGACCTCAGTGCCAGTCTTGGTGCCCTGACTGTCAAAATGGTGGCATATGTCATGCTGTGACTGGCACTTGTGTCTGTGCTCCAGGCTACAGTGGTCCCACCTGCCAACATGGTAAGCAACTTAACACGTTTTACAGTTCATATCTTACATAAACAGTTGCTATTACATCATTATCTAAATTACCATTTATCCAAACACTAACCAAAAGCCGGTTAATATATATATACTTATATATAACACGCAGTATCCGGTGTATTTGTGTATTGTTTATGTTTTGACAGCGTGTCCCCGAGGCAGCTTCGGGAGCTCGTGTCAGTTTATATGCCAGAAGACCACTCTTGGCTTCAGTCCTGCAACTAAGGGTCAGTGTGAGAAGTTGATCATATGTCTGCCTGAACCCTATGGCTGCTCCTGTGCTCCCGGCTACACCGGCCCCTTCTGTGACCAAGGTAATATTCCTCTCTTAAAGTCTCGCAAGTGTTTATAATGAGTTGGTTATTTCAAACACACAAATTTTATTGGTAGCGGGACACACAAGACTGTTGGGTAAATGATTAAATATTATTTTACATTGTAAAATACAGTCTCAAGTGGGTGCGAGTGTGTGTACTAATTGACATCGGGAGGTTTCTCGTATATAAATTACTCGGCTGCGCCCGGGTCTACCCCCCTCCTGTTTCCATCCCCTCTTTCCCAATCTCCCTCTCTCCCCTCACTCTCATCTCTTGTCCTATTCCCTTTTCTCCCCCGTTCCCCCTTCTCCCCTTTTCCACCCAAACTTTCCCCCTCTTCCAATCTCTATGAATACTACTTGTGGTGGCAGTATGACTACTGCCACCACAACGACTGTGACTACTGCCACCACAACCACTGTGACTACTGCCACCACAGCCACTGTGACTACTGCCACCACAACCACTGTGACTACTGCCACCACAACCAGTGTGACTACTGCCCCCACAACGACTGTGACTACTGCCACCACAACCTGTGTGACTACTGCCACCACAACCACTGTGACTACTGCCACCACAACGACTGTGACTACTGCCACCACAACCACTGTGACTACTGCCACCACAACCACTGTGACTACTACCACCACAACCTGTGTGACTACTGCCACCACAACCACTGTGACTATTGCCACCACAACCACTGTGACTACTGCCACCACAACCACTGTGACTACTGCCACCACAACCACTGTGACTACTACCACCACAACCTGTGTGACTACTGCCACCACAACCACTGTGACTACTGCCACCACAACTACTGTGACTACTGCCACCACAACCACTGTGACTACTGCCACCACAACCACTGTGACTACTGCCACCACAACCTGTGTGACTACTGCCACCACAACCACTGTGACTACTGCCACCACAACCTGTGTGACTACTGCCACCACAACCACTGTGACTACTGCCACCACAACCACTGTGACTACTACCACCACAACCTGTGTGACTACTGCCACCACAACCACTGTGACTACTGCCACCACAACCACTGTGACTACTGCCACCACAACCACTGTGACTACTACCACTACAACCTGTGTGACTACTGCCACCACAACCACTGTGACTACTGCCACCACAACCACTGTGACTACTGTCACCACATCCACTGTTACTACTACCACCACAACCTGTGTGACTACTGCCACCACAACCACTGTGACTACTGCCACCACAACCACTGTGACTACTGCCACCACAACCACTGTGACTACTACCACCACAACCTGTGTGACTACTGCCACCACAACCACTGTGACTACGACCACCACAACCTGTGTGACTACTGCCACCACAACCACTGTGACTACTGCCACCACAACCACTGTGACTACTGCCACCACAACCACTGTGACTACTGCCACCACAACCTGTGTGACTACTGCCACCACAACCACTGTGACTACTGCCACCACAACCTGTGTGACTACTGCCACCACAACCAGTGTGACTACTGCCACCACAACCTGTGTGACTACTGCCACCACAACCTGTGTGACTACTGCCACCACAACCACTGTGACTACTGCCACCACATCCTGTGTGACTACTGCCACCACAACCTGTGTGACTACTGCCACCACAACCTGTGTGACCACTGCCACCACAACCTGTGTGACTACTGCCACCACAACCTGTGTGACTACTGCCACCACAACCTATGTGACTACTGCCACCACAACCTGTGTGACTACTGCCACCACAACCAGTGTGACTACTGCCACCACAACCTGTGTGACTACTGCCACCACAACCTGTGTGACTACTGCCACCACAACCACTGTGACTACTGCCACCACATCCTGTGTGACTACTGCCACCACAACCTGTGTGACTACTGCCACCACAACCTGTGTGACTACTGCCACCACATCCTGTGTGACTACTGCCACCACAACCTGTGTGACTACTGCCATCACAACCTGAGTGACTACTGCCACCCCAACCTGTGTGACTACTGCCACCACAACCTGTGTGACTACTGCCACCACATCCTGTGTGACTACTGCCACCACAACCTGTGTGACTACTGCCACCACAACCTGTGTGACTACTGCCACCACAACCTATGTGACTACTGGCACCACAACCACTGTGACTACTGCCACCACAACCTGTGTGACTACTGCCACCACAACCTGTGTGACTACTGCCACCACAACCTGTGTGACTACTGCCACCACAACCTGTGTGACTACTGCCACCACAACCTGTGTGACTACTGCCACCACAACCTGTGTGACTACTGCCACCACAACCTGTGTGACTACTGCCACCACAACCTGTGTGACTACTGCCACCACAACCTGTGTGACTACTGCCACCACAACCTGTGTGACTACTGCCACCACAACCACTGTGACTACTGCCACCACAACCACTGTGACTACTGCCACCACAACCTGTGTGACTACTGCCACCACAACCTGTGTGACTACTGCCACCACAACCTGTGTGACTACTGCCACCACAACCTATGTGACTACTGCCACCACATCCTGTGTGACTACTGCCACCACATCCTGTGTGACTACTGCCACCACAAGCTGTGTGACTACTGCCACCACAACCACTGTGACTACTGGCACCACAACCACTGTGACTACTGCCACCACATCCTGTGTGACTACTGCCACCACATCCTGTGTGACTACTGCCACCACAACCTGTGTGACTTCTGCCACCACAACCACTGTGACTACTGCCACCACAACCACTGTGACTACTGGCACCACAACCACTGTGACTACTGCCACCACAACCACTGTGACTACTGCCACCACAACCACTGTGACTACTGGCATCACAACCTGTGAGACTACTGCCACCACAACCTATGTGACTACTGGCACCACAACCTGTGAGACTACTGCCACCACAACCACTGTGACTACTGCCACCACAACCTGTGAGACTACTGCCACCACAACCACTGTGACTACTGGCATCACAACCTGTGAGACTACTGCCACCACAACCACTGTGACTACTGCCATCACAACCACTGTGACTACTGCCACCACAACCACTGTGACTACTGGCATCACAACCTGTGAGACTACTGCCACCACAACCTATGTGACTACTGGCACCACAACCTGTGTGACTACTGCCACCACAACCACTGTGACTACTGCCACCACAACCACTGTGACTACTGCCACCACAACCACTGTGACTACTGCCACCACAACCACTGTGACTACTGCCACCACAACCACTGTGACTACTACCACCACAACCTGTGTGACTACTGCCACCACAACCACTGTGACTACTGCCACCACAACCTGTGTGACTACTGCCACCACAACCTGTGTGACTACTGCCACCACAACCACTGTGACTACTGCCACCACATCCTGTGTGACTACTGCCACCACAACCTGTGTGACTACTGCCACCACAACCTGTGTGACCACTGCCACCACAACCTGTGTGACTACTGCCACCACAACCTGTGTGACTACTGCCACCACAACCTATGTGACTACTGCCACCACAACCTGTGTGACTACTGCCACCACAACCAGTGTGACTACTGCCACCACAACCTGTGTGACTACTGCCACCACAACCTGTGTGACTACTGCCACCACAACCACTGTGACTACTGCCACCACATCCTGTGTGACTACTGCCACCACAACCTGTGTGACTACTGCCACCACAACCTGTGTGACTACTGCCACCACATCCTGTGTGACTACTGCCACCACAACCTGTGTGACTACTGCCATCACAACCTGTGTGACTACTGCCACCCCAACCTGTGTGACTACTGCCACCACAACCTGTGTGACTACTGCCACCACATCCTGTGTGACTACTGCCACCACAACCTGTGTGACTACTGCCACCACAACCTGTGTGACTACTGCCACCACAACCTATGTGACTACTGGCACCACAACCACTGTGACTACTGCCACCACAACCTGTGTGACTACTGCCACCACAACCTGTGTGACTACTGCCACCACAACCTGTGTGACTACTGCCACCACAACCTATGTGACTACTGCCACCACATCCTGTGTGACTACTGCCACCACATCCTGTGTGACTACTGCCACCACAAGCTGTGTGACTACTGCCACCACAACCACTGTGACTACTGGCACCACAACCACTGTGACTACTGCCACCACATCCTGTGTGACTACTGCCACCACATCCTGTGTGACTACTGCCACCACAACCTGTGTGACTTCTGCCACCACAACCACTGTGACTACTGCCACCACAACCACTGTGACTACTGGTGTTACGTACTCCTAGCAGAATACGTATATAAATTTAAAATAAATATTATTTTATTTTATCATTGCATGTATATGTACACACATTGTGTTTTGGGTAAATTGTCGTATGGTGTGGCAGCGTCAGCGGACAAGAGCGCGGTTGCCTTTGCACACGTCTATTTCCTGATTGATACAGGAAAGCTGGACCTGTTCAGTTGAGAGTTCCAGATGTCACTTTATTTTAGTTAGAAAATGTTTTATATACTGTAATTAAACAGGTGTCATTATACTTATATATTTTGTAAGCAACTATTATATGTAACTTGCAGTCTTATGTGTTTTGATAACAAGTGGTTGTTCAATTAGTTTAAAATATTAAAAAGTCCTTAGTTTCCATCCCTCATCCTGGGATGAGGCAGACGGGAGGTGAGAATGTGGGTGGCGACAGAGCGAGAGTTCAGTAGCTGATACTGGACCAGGAGAGTAACATGTGGGAGATAAGTCTATTACATTCATTTTGTGCCATAATTACTATTATATATTACGTGCCATGACAATACTTTCATATATTCTACAAGTTAACTTTACCATCTGTGTTTTTATATTATACTGTTTTGAATATATTTATGTAATATTGTTTATCTATTCTTCAGTCCTAAGGAAGATTTTATTTTT